TCCATTCCCCACCAGGAGGGTCTTAAGGCTCTCCGCTTCTTCCTGGAGCAAAGATCTGAACCATCCCCACCCACCACCACCCTCTTCCGCTTGTCCTCACCCTCAACAACTTCTCTTTCAACTCCTTTCATTTTCTTCAGGTAAGAGGGGTTGCCATGGGTACCGGCATGGGCCCTAGTTATGCCTGTCTCTTCGTGGGGTACATGGAACATTCCTTGTTCCAGTCCTATTCCGGCCCCCATCCACAACTCTTTCTCCGATACATTGATAATATCATCGGTACTGCTTCCCTCTCTCGTCTAGAATTGGAAAACTTCATCAATTTCGCCTCCAATTTCCACCCTGCCCTCACTTTCACCTGGTCTATCTCTGACTCCTCCCTTCCTTTCCTCAACATTTCTGTTTCCATTTCTGGGGATAGACTGACCACTAATATCCATTACAAACCCAGCGACTCCCACAGCTACCTGGACTATATATCCTCACACCCCACTTCCTGTAAAGACTCCATCCCATTCTCTCAGTTCCTCCATCTCCGTCGCATATGTTCAGATGAGGCCTACTTCGACAAGGGAGCCTCTGAAATGTCCACATTCTTCCTCAACCGAGGATTCCCCAGCTCCGTTGTCGACAGGGCCCTCAATCGGGTCCGACCCATCTCCCGCACTTCTGCCCTCACCCCTTCTCTTCCCTCCCACAACAGCGATAGGGTTCCCCTTATCCTCACCTACCAGCATCCACATCCAGAAGATCATCAGATGCTATTTCCGCCACCTCCAGCAAGATGCCACCACCAGACACATATTCCCCTCCCCTCGCTTGTCTGCCTTCCGCATGGACTGTTCCCTCTGAGACACCCTGGTCCACACTTCCTTCACCCCCAACACCCCCCCACAGCCCTACGGCACCTTCCCCTGTAACTGGCGAAGGTGCAACACCTGCACATTTACCTCCTCCATCCCCAGAATCCAAGGGCCCAAACATACTTTTCAGGTGAAGCAACACTTCACTTGCACTTCCAAGAATCTAGTCTACTGCATTCGCTGCTCACAATGTGGTCTCCTCTACATTGGGGAAACGAAGTGTAGACTTGGCAACCGCTTCGCAGAACATCTACGTTCTGCTCGCAAAAAAGACCCTGAACTACCTTTTTCTGATGAAGGGTCTCGGCCTGAAACGTCAGCCTCTCTGCTCCTATGATGCTGCTTGGCCTGCTGTGTTCATCCAGCCCTGCACCTTGTTGTCCTGAACTACCTGTTGCCTGCTACTTCAATGTACCACATTGCTCCCTGGCCGACATCTCTGTCTCTGGCTTGCTACAGTGTTCCAGTGTTCCAAGCTGGAGGAACAACACCTCATTTTCCGCTTGGGGACCCTACAGCCCTCCGTACTCAATATTGAGTTCAATGATTTTAGGGCCTAAACTCTCCCATGTCCCAGCCCCCCACCCCACACACCAGGCCTTGTTACCACATAGCCTGCCACTACACACCCGCTGTTGTCAGTCACTAACAGTCCCCATTAACAACTATTCACCCTCCCAGCCTGATTGTTAGCAACTCCTTTGTCTGTCCAACTGTCTTTCTCTCTCTTTGGGCTCTATCCTGTCGTTTACTCCCTACCCCACCCACCTCCCTATTTTCTGCATATAAACTGACGTTTTCCCAGCCACCATCAATTCTGAGGAAGGGTCACCGGACCCGAAACGTCAACTCTGTTTTCTCCTCCACAGATGCTGCCAGACCTGCTGAGCTTTTCCAGCAACTTTGTTTTTGTTCTTAGACTGCTGGACCTGGCAGATTTGGAAGAAGTATTAGTTTTATGTTGTAGGACTGCTGTAGGTTTTTTTACATTCATTACATTCATTTTATGTTATAGGACTGCTGTAGATTTTTTACATTCATTAGAAGAAAAAAGTTCACTTTTATTTACATTTGTAATAAAGTGTTTTCTATTCTCACAGTGCTGTATTATGAGATTTGTTTTATTTTATCCTTACAGTGAAGGAACAGGGAAAGAACAGATATTTCCAACAAACCTCAGATCAAGCAGTGTCACAGTCCCTGGAGATCATCTTCAGAAAGCTGTTATATACAGGGTCTGGATACAAGCTGAGAATGCATTAGGAAATGCAACATCCAAGCATCTAACTTTTTCACTCAATGATATAGGTACAGAATTGCTATTTCTACCAGTTACTATTGTACATGACCTTTTTGGTTCTAGACTTGAATCTTCTGATGGCTCAGTAAACAACCATTTATTCTAGTTTTTATGTCTCAACATCTGATCACAAATCCATAATTCTTACTGGAAAACATATTTTTGTTCATGTTGAAGGGCAGAAAAGTTTGTATGAGGGTGTATTTAACCCCAACATTGAACAGACAATGGGGATGGAAATCTTCAGATGTCCTGGTGTACTCCTGCTACAACTTTGACATTAGGGTGGGATAGCTCAAGTAATGTTTCTGCACATCTGTACTTGGCATAGCGATATGGAATGAAACCAGACATAATTGCCAACACAGCAGCAGTCCTTGTGTCCACCTGGAGATCTGGAATTAATATCTAGCATGGAACAGGAGGAATGTTGGGTTTTTAGAAAACATTGGGTATCACTGGCAAGGCCAGCACTTAATGGTCACCCTAATTGGACAAGAGAAGGTGGTGGTGAAACATCTTCATGAAAAGCTGACGTCCATGAAGGGAATATTGTTGGGAATGGAATGACAGGATTTTGACCCAGCAACCGTGAAGGAATGAAAATGTAGTTTTAAGTTACAATGGCATGTGGCTTGGAAACTACCTTTCATGTGATTGTAGCCCAATGCATCAGCTGCCCTTATCCTTCTCAGTGGTAGAGATTGCAGTTTTGGAAGGTATTGTCAAAGGGGACTTGGTGAGTTTCTATAGTGCCTCTTATGGATGGTATGCATTGCTGGACCTGGCTCTCCGTGGAACCTGCCAATTTGTCCATGGAGGCACTGCTGCCACTGTGATTCAGTGGCAGGGGAACTGAATGTTTAAGTTGGTGGATGGGAGTAACAGTCAAGTTTGTCTATTTTGTAACAGTCTACTTTGTCCTGGATGGTGTTGAGATTTTTGAGTGTTATTAGAGCTGTACTCATCCAGGCAACTGTACATCACATTCCTGATGTATGTTTTGTAGGTGGTGGATAGCCTTTGGGGAGTCAGGAAGTGAGTTATTTACCTCAGAATTCCTAGCTTCTGATCAGACTTTGTAACTGCAACATTTATGTTGCTGGGCCATTTCAGTTCTGGTCAATGGTAATCCCCAGGATATTCATTGCAAGAGATTCAGCAATGGTAATGCCATACAACATCAAAGGCAAATGGTTATATTCTCTGTTTGTTGGAGATGGTCACTTCTGTCACTTATGTGGCTAATGTTTCTTGCTACTTATCAGCCCATTTACAGATGTTGTCCAGGTCTTATTCATATGGACTTGGACAGTTTCAATATACAAAGAATTGAGAATGGTGTTGACATTGTACTATCATCAGTGAACATCCCTACTTCTGACTTTAGGATGAATGAAAGATTAATTGATGAAGCCATTGAAGATAATTGGACCTAGGATACTATCCCGAGGAAATCCTGCAGAGATTTCCTAGAACCGAGATGACTGACCTCCAGTAACCACAACCATCTTCCTTTGTGCTTGGTATGATTCCAAGCTGTGAGGAGTTTCCCCACTGATTTCTATTGACTCCAGTTTTATTCGTGTCTCTTCATTTGTCGTTCAACTGCTGCCTTGATGTCAAGAACAGTTACTCTTGCCCCACTTCTGGAGTACACCTCTTTTATCCATAGCAAGGCTTGATCAAGGCAGTAATGAGATCAGGAACTAATTGCCATGACAGGACCCAAACTGACCATCAGTGAGCAGAGTATTACTTAGCAAATGCTGCTTGTTAGCAATATTGACAGCATTTACTTGAGAAAGGATGTATTGGCACTGGAGGGGGTGCAAAGGAGGTTCACTAGGTTGATTCCGGAGTTGAGGGGGTTGGCTTATGAGGAGAGACTGAGTAGATTAGGATTATATTCATTGGAATTCAGAAGATTGAGGGGGGATCTTATAGAAACATATAAAATTATGAAGGGAATAGATAAGATAGAAGTAGAGAGGATGTTTCCACTGGCAGGTGAAGCTAAGACAAGAGGGCGTAGCCTCAAGATTAGATGGAGCAGATTTAGGACTGAATTGAGAAGGAATTTCTTCACCCAGAGGGTTGTTAATCTATGGAATTCCTTGCCCAGTGAAGTAGTTGACACTACTTCAGTAAACATTTTTAAAAAAAAGGTAGATTTTTTTTGAACAATAAAGGAATTAAGGGATACGGTGAGAACACGGGTAAGTGGATCTGAGTCCACGAAAAGATCAGCCATGATCTTATTGAATGGCGGAACAGGCTCGAAGGGCCAGACGGCCTACTCCTGCTCCAGTTCTTATGTTCTTATCTTCCATCAATATTACAGATGATCTAACATAGATTGATAGTATATGTGTTGGATTTGTCTTGCTTCTTTTGGATAGGACAAAATTGGTCAATTTTCTATTTCCACTGTCAGGCATTTGCCAACAACATAGCTATATTGGAACAGCTTGACTAGGGCTCTTAATTTTAATTATTCAGAGCACATGGGTATTGTCGGCTGGGCCAACAGTCATTGCCCTGGTGAAGGTAAAGTTGAGCTGCTGTCTTGAACCTCTGATCCTCTTGCTATTGTGAGCCTCAAAATGTCAGGAAGGGAATTCCAGAATTTTGACCCAGTGACATTGAAGTAACAGTGTATATTTCTATGCCAGGAATTTGAGTGGCTTGAAGGGGAACTTTCAGCTGGTGGTATTGCCATGTATCTGGTGCCCTTCGAGATGGTAGTGGTCATGGGTTTGGAAGGTGCTATCTAAAGAGCTGAATTTCCACAATACACCTTGTGGATCATTTATACTGATCCTCCTATGCATCTGTGGTTGAGGAAATGAAATTTTCTGAATGTGGTGTCAATCAAGTGGGATGCTTTGTCCTGATGGTGTCAAGCTTCTTGATTATTGGTGGAGTTGCACTCATTCAGGTATGTGGGGAGTACTATTACATTCCTGACTTGAGCCTAGTAGATGGTGGACAGGCTTTGAGGAGTCAAAAACAATGTCCCCTCTGAGCTGCGTGATTATCAAACAGCATGCTTCCACTATCAGAATGGCTTCCACTTCGAGATCTCAGAGGTCCACGTAGCAACAAAGAAAGTTAAATGGAACGTTGGTCAGGGAATAAGTCAGCTATTGCAGGATTCCTATCTTCTGACCTGCTGTTCTAGCCATGGTATCTTTATGGTTAATCCAGTTCAGTTTCTGGTCAATGATAACCTCCAGGATGTTGATAGTGGGGGATTCAATGACAGCAACACCGTTGAATGTCCAGGGACAATTTTTAGAATATCTCTTGTTGGAGATGGTCATTGCCTGGCACTCGTGTGGCATGAACCTCTTGGCACTTGTCAGCCAAATCTGAATATTGACCGGGTCTTCTTGCATTTGGATGAACATGGATTGCTTCATTATCTGAGGAATCATGAATGGAGCTGAACAGTATGCAGTCATCAGCGACGTCCTCACTTCTGACCTTATGATGGAGGAAGGTCATTGAAGAAGCAACAGAAGATGGTTGGCTCTAGGATATTATTTTGAGGAATTCCTGCAGAGATGTCCTGCAGCTGAAATGACTGACCTCCAACAACTAGTTGAGCACAGGAGCAGGGATGTTCAGTTATATAGTGCCTTGGTGAGGCCACAGCTAGAATATTGTGTACAGTTTTGGTCTTCTTTTCTGAGGAAGGATGCTCTTGCTCTTGAGGGAGTGCAGTGAAGGTTTACCAGGCTGATTCCAGGGATGGAGGGATTGACATATGAGGAGAGATTGACTAGGTTAGGATTGTTTTCAATGGAGTTCAGACAAATGAGAGGGGATCTCATAGAGACTTAAAGTTTAATTAGATCAGTGAATCCCTACAGTGTGGAAACAGGCCCGTTGGCCCAACAAATCCACACCAACCCTTGAAGCATCCCACGCAGACCCATCCCCCTAATCTACACATCTCTGAACACCAAGGGCAATTTAGCATGGCCAAACCACCTAGCCTGCACATCTTTGGATTGTGGGAGGAAACCGGAGCACCTGGAGGAAACCCACGCAGACATGGGGAGAATGTGCAAACCCCACAAAGACAGTCGCCTGAAGGTGGAATTGAACCCGGGTCCCTGGTGCTGTGAGGCTGCAGTGCTAACCACTGAGCCACTGTGCTGCCCAACAGGACTAGACAGGGTTGATGCAGAGAGGATGTTTCCAATGGTGGGTGTGTCCAGAACCAGGAGTCACAATCTGAGGATTTGGGGTAGACCATTTAGGACAGAGATGAGATGTTTCTTTACCCAAAAAGTGGTAAGCCAGTGGAATTCATTACCATAGGAAGTAGTTGATGCCAAAACATTGATCCCATTCACCCCAAGTGCTATATCTGGCCACCTCTTGCACACATTCAAAGGTTATGGGGAGAAAGCAGGATTAGGCCATTGAGTTGGATGATCAGCCATGATCATGATGAATGGCAGAGCAGGCTGAAAGGGCTGAATGGTCTCCTCCTGCTCCTATCTTCTATGTTTCAACTATCTACAACTATCTTCCTTTTCCTAGGTATAACTTTATCAGGAAGAGAGTTTTCTCCCTGATTCCCATTGATTCCAGTTTTGCTAGGGCTCGTTCTTACCACATTCAATCAAATGCGGTCTTGATGTCAGGGGCTGTCACTCTAATCTCACCTCTGGAATTCAACACCTTTGTCCATCTTTGATATAAGACTGTAATGAAGTCATGAGCTGAGTTGGCCCTGGCATACCCAAGATTAGTCCCATTAAGCAGATTTTTGCTAAGTGAGTGCTGCTTGATAGTGCTGTTGATGACCTTTTCCCCACCACTTTACTGATTTTTGAATATTGACTAATGAAGCAGTAGTTGGCCAGGTTCAGTTTGTCCTGCTTTTTGTGTAGAGGACATACCTGGGCAATTTTCCTTGTTGAAGTTCTGGAGCAGAATTCTTTAGTATTGGTGCCAGAATGTTTTCAAAGCACATAGCCTTTAAAGTAGTCTTTGTGGTAGATATTGGCTTTTTCTTGATATCAAATGAATCATTTTGGCTGACGACTGATATTTGTGAGGCTATGGACTTCAAGAAGAAGCCAAAATGGAATATTCACACAGCCCTTTTAGCTAAAGGTGCTTGGAAATGCTTACAGTTTGTATTTAGCTAGACACCCTCATCAATGAAGATGGGATATTTGTGGAAACTCCCCTTTCTGTTTCACAAACAGAAGTTGCTGGAAAAGCTCAGCAGATCTGGCAGCATCTGTGAAGATAAAAATCAGGTCTGGTGACCCTTTCTGTTTGTTGTCCAATACCACTTTCTGCTGGATATCGTAGTAGTACAGTATTTTGATCTTGTTTGTGTGCAATTGCATAAATCTGCCTATTGCTGCTGCTTCTGATGTTTGGCATGCAAGTAATCTTTTGTCGTAACTTCACCAGATTGCTGCCTCATTCTGAGATATGCTTGATACTGCTCCAGGCATGCCCTCCTGGACTATTAATTGAACCATTGTTAATTGGCTTGATGGAAATGTTAGAATGGGGGATATGCTGGACCATGAGGTTACACGTTGAGGTTGAATACAATTCTGCTGCTGAGATTGCCACAGCACCTCATGGATGTCCAGCTTTGAGCTGATAAATTTGTTTGAAATCTATCCAATTTATCACAGTCATCATGCCACAACACAATGAAAATTATCCTGAATACAAAGATGTAACTTTGTCTCCATGGTAGTATGGTGGTGGCTCCTACCAATTCTGTCATGGACAGATGCATCTGCAATGCGTAAATTGGTGAAGACGAAGTCAATTTTTTCCTTCCTCTTGGTTCCCTGGTGACTTGCTGCAAAATCAATGCAATAGCTACGTCCTTTAGGAATCAGCCAGCTCACTCATAACTGGTGCTATTGAGCCACTTTTGATGCTAGGCACTAAAATTCTCCACCCAAATTACATTTGGGACACTTGCCACCCTCAGTGCTTCTTCCAATTAACTTTCAATATGCAGGACTAATGACTCATCTGTACCTGGGGAGTGGAGTACAGAGGTAGCAGGGAGAATTCAGCTGAAGACTCTCTTGCTACTATAACTTTAGCAATAAACTGTGGAGCTGGCCTGGCATGTTGAATAGATATGTTTTTGATTTGCCTCTAAAATTATGATAATTTTTCAAGAAAGTCTTAATAGAAATTTCCAATCACCATCTTTAAGGAATGAGGCAAAAATGTTGTTTGAGAAATTTTACTCTAATTTTCATGCTAATTTGAAACTTTTCTTTGTTCAAATAGTTAAGCCTGATGCTCCAATGATCACTAAAGTTGAATTTCTAAATAATTCAGTTCCCAAGATCATTATTCACTGGAGAATTTCAACAAATGCAGAATGTCAGTTTGAAATAAGATACAGAATAATATCCAATCCTAATATGAGATGGACTCTGGTAAGTTCCAGATTTTTTGCAAAGTGCTGTTTAATAAAGTGTGCATTTTTTTTGATGAAGACATAGTTAACACACTCATTCTGTTTCACTTTGCCTTCCTGATGCAAACTCATACTCCATTTACATTGAAAGCCACCCCTTGAGTCTGGCTCTGAACATTTATTCCTAAAATTCATAAATAGAATGGAAAATGCTGCTACATTGGAGTTCATAATATGTCTGTAACCAATCTCTTTTCTTCAAGTATTAGCTGTGTTTTTGTTTTGCTGCTTTTAAACATTCCTACCTTATCTTCATCTCATACTAAAAAATGTGTTTTGGTGAATTGTTGCACATTTATCACGTAAACTACAAAACAGTGACAGGAGGTTCTTACTTCCATTATACTTTGCTTCTGAAAACTTAGTGATACATTTGGATTTTCCCTGGATCTTTAGTGAATGAAAGCAAGAATTTCACCACCAAAGCAATCCTGTGGGTATCTGATCATATTTCCTTTGTAGAGGAGGTCAACAGGGCAGGATGACAGTGAGAATTTCTCCTGAAAGTACATCCACTATCAACAGTGATAGAAACCAGGGAGGCTGCAGAGGTTAAAGAGTTGCTTCTGTTATAATGGTTGAATGCAGTTGACTCTGAAGAGGAAGAGATAAGAGTTGAAGCTATACCTGACAGTGGAAAAAGTGATAGCGGAAGGTCACTCGTCATCTAATGATTTTGCAGTAACCAAGGCACCAAGGTTTCAGAACTTGCAATGCTGTTGATATTGGCACAACTAAAGGCCAGAATTCAAATGCTGTTTGGTGTCTAGGGAATTATGTGCCTAAAAATGGATTTGCATGCCGTCTGGGGAGAGGGTAAACTGGCAATCAGTGCCAACTCCAAATTATATTTCATCAACCCATTTTAACATGTTATGGCACTCCTTCAGGACAGGTCAGACTTGAACACAGAACTTCTGATCGAGAGAGAGACACATTACCTCTGCACCATCTTTACCAACTCTATCACCCTATTCACCAATAGAAATTAACCTTACCAACCTGACAGTGAGTTCCCCTGCAGATGCTGAGATACTGCTGGAACCATAACTGTTCTCAGCAACATTCAGGCAGCATAGAATGACAGCAGAAATTAATGAGATCTTAAGTCAGTGCAAAATCCCTCACTACCCTCTCTCACATATGCTTTATCTTCTACGATTCTGCTACATATCACATTCCTTGCAATGTTTGCTATAGTAAAGAGAGATGTGGCAGCTTTTTCACAACCCCGGCAGCTTTTTCACAACCCCAGCATCTTCTGCTAAAAGCTAAATTAAAGATCCTGATTCTATGTGAGCTTGACCAAACCTCTTCAGCCTGCTTCTATTGTTCCAACTTTTAAAAAAAACAAAGGCCTCGTAAGTTATTTACTGTAGTGGTTCTTGTAGATTGCTCAGGTCCTCTGCCTTAAAACCTCTCTTCAGAAAAGGAAGGACAAAGGAACTTCTTAAAGCCACAGCACGTCACAGGCTGCATCTCAATATATCTTCATGAGACAATTTACAGCAGACAGATGGTTGAAAAAGTATTAGAAATTAAAATATCCTATGTCTTAATCTTTGTGATCTTTACAAAAGAATATACAATTAGAAATAAAAAGCTGAGACCTCTCATGGGCATAAACAGCAGGTTCTGCTACACAATGGATAAGATGAATGATTGGCAGAGAGGTGCCGAGTTTAATTTGGTAATGTAATAGAGCATTTACAGAAATGTCTAGACATTCTTATGACTTGCAAGGTGTCCTGTTATTTGCTTCATCATAATTCTTGTTATATTAGTCTTTCTTCCTATGATAAATATCTACTATTGCTTTTAGTTATGTTCACATAAAGAAGAGTTAACTGGCCAGCAACCTGGCATCCTCTACCCAAAGCAGCCATTCTTCTCTAATTATTTGTTTATTGAAGTCACAGTTACTTGGGTCAAGGACAATATTAGAAAGAAGTGGCAAGTAGAATCATGGAATCCCTACATTGCAGAAGCAGGCTATTCGGTCCATCAAGTATACACCAACTCTCTGAAGAGCATCCCACCCAGACCCATTCCCTACCCCATCCTTGTAACCTTGCATTTCCAATGGCTAATCCACCTAGCTTGCACGTATTTGGACTGTGGTAGGAAACTGGAGCACCCAGAGGAAACCCATGCAGACTAGGTTGTGAGGCAGCAGTGCTGACCACTTAGCCACCATGCTGCCCATTTATTAAATACTTGATGAATCATACAGCACTAATGAACAAGTAAATCTAGGAAATATCTGTTTATCACAACATAAACAGTTACTGGGGGCTGCAAAACCCAGAATCCAAGCACTGACTAGGTCCAAATTTTTGAATAACTATGTTTTAGAAGCAAGGGTCTTGAGTACATGAAATGTAGATGGCTTCTTTCTCAGTTTTTGTTTTGTGTTCAGAAGGCCAAATGGTTAAATGAAAGAATATAGAATAAAACACTACGATTCTGGGAAAAGAAACAGAAAATGCTGATGGAACTCTGGCAGATCTGTGGAAAGAGAGACAGAATTAATGTTAACTAGAACAATCCAGCAAACCTTCTCTAGACAATACTGCAATACTCCCCTTGATCTGTTCAAGCACCACAAGTGGGACTTGAGAATGCTAATGTGCTGGTCCATAGTGATTTTGATCGTGGACTTACTTTAGGCTTCTACCCTCATATTCCAAAATGTTTCACCAAGACAGCTCTATCAGTTATCCCTGTCTGCCATCAGCTATCCTGTCCAACTGTGTGCCTAAGCATTGAAGAAATGCTGGATTTTCTGAGAATAAACAAATTCTGGTTACTTCCTGATATACTTCACAAAGTGGTTAGTATCAAGCACTGTCTGCACTTTCAGGGAATTAAGTCCCTTTTGTTCATCATGTCAATAGAGTTTCAGGTAGGGCTTTTAGATGTACAAAAATTGCATCAGCTGGTCTCTGCATTTTTAGGAGCACATCCATTTAGAAAAAACTAGTGACCTAGACTAGGCAGCCATTATCAATTTTTATGCTTGCATTTTGTAGGCTTTGTACTAGAATTTCCGATTGCAGGAAAATCAAAATAGTACATCATTTGCAAAAGGTTTCTAGGATCCTTAAGAACAGGAAAAGCAACAATGTACCTCCTAATCCAATCAGATTAAAGACTACTGAAATAGATGGAATCTGAACCAGGAAATAGAAATTGGACAAACAATGTACAGAAAGTAAAGAGAAGGAAAGTTATGTGATTAAGAGACAGTGATAAATGAGACAGTATGAAATGTAAAAAAGTTTCAATATTTCGATATTTTTAAATCTCCAACAATATTTAAAAGCAGAAGGAATGGGACTCCAATTCTCACTGAGTAAGTTTTCAGTGCCAGTGGGGTTATTTTGACCACCATCAAAAATTATTTACACTCTAAGAGATAAATGCCAATGCTTTCAATGCTGTAGTTTGATTGAAAGAACTGTTTTTAAGAAAATTTGCAATGAAAAGAGAAGCAAGAGACTGTATGAGAGAAATATTTCTATTAACAATTTTAGGTTGCTAAGAACACTTTTATTATCAGTGGAAATTCAGGTTATTTTTACAATTGGGAGCCTTTCAAGGAATATGAGTTTCAGATCCGCTGCAACCTCATAAAAAGCAACAACTACTGGAGTGACTGGAGCAAATCTTTCATAAACAAAACACCTGAGGCTGGTGAGTGCATGTCTGACATATTTATATAGCAGGATACTGGAAGTAAACTGTTCTGTACTCAGCGACATCAAAAATGTTAGATACGTATTGTCCCTTGAGCAAAGCTCTGCTGGGTGAATTGTGTACATGTTTTGGAGGAGAAAATGTCAATAGCAGCAAACTAAAGAATTTATTCCAATTAAAAATGCAAAAGGAGCTTGACAATGCAGACAAGATGAAATTTTTTCAGCACTAGGAATAGGAATAAAATGGCAAGAGAAGACCGGGAGCAGAGTTCCGATCGCCTTCAGCCTGCCATTGCATCCTGCCCATGGCAGTAAAGGCAGCGGATGGTCCTTCCACCCCAGAGGCCTTAAGATAAATATGAGGTACTACATTTTGGTAGGACAGGGCAGGACTTGCACACTGAATGATAAGGTTCTGGGGAGTGTTGCCGGACAAAGGGACCTTGGAGTGCAGGTTCATAGTTCCTTGAAAATGGAGTCGCAGGTAGACAGGGTGTTGAAGAAGGCATTTGGTACACTTGCCTTTATTGATCAGAACATTTGAGAATAGGATTTGGGATGTCATTGTTGCAGTTGTACAGAACATTGGTGAGGCCACTTTTGGAATACGGTGTTCAATTCTGGTCTCCCTGTGATAGGAAAGATGTTGTTAAACTTGAAAGCGTTCAGAAAAGATTTACAAGGATGTCGCAAGGGTTGGAGGTTTTGAACTTTAAGGAGATGCTGAATAGGCTGGGCTATTTTCTCTGAAGCTTCGAAGGTTGAGGGCTAACCTTAGAGGTTTATAAAATCATGAGGGGCATAAGGTGAATAGTCAAGGTCTTTTCTCCAGGGTAGGGGAGTCCAAAACTAGAGGGCATAGGTTTAAGGTGAGCAAGGAGAAATTTAAAAGGGACCTAAGGGGCAACTTTTTCATGGAGAGGATGGTGCATGTATGGAATGAACTGCCAGAGGAAATGATGGAGGCTGGTACAATTACAACATTCAAAAAGCATCTGGGTGGCTATGTGAAAAGGAAGCCTTTGGAGGGATATGGGCCAAATGCTGGCAAATGCAATGAGATTAATTTAGGATATCTGGTCAGCATGGACAAGTTGGACCGAAGCATTTGTGTCTGTGCTGTATATCTTTATGACTCTAAGGCCTCTTATCACCAGCCTTGCATTCTACCAGCAATATGTAGGTCATTTCCCATTTGGAAAGCTACCTGGAGATCTGTACCTTTTGAGGCAATGTGAGGGACTGCCAGTCACAATGTCTACCCTACAACAATACTCCCTTACCAACTCCCCCAATATATTGATGGGTCCTGCCTGTCTCATCAAACTCTGATGGCACTCAGCTTGCCACAAAGGAAGTATCCATTGCTGCATGCTCTGCAACAATTGGCCAGTAGTTCCCTTGGAGACGGTCTCATACCTTTTAAAGGGGCAGAAGTCCCAACAGCAGTTAATAAGCTGCACGATAGACTTAAAATGTGGCCTGGGTCTTACAAAAAGTCAAAGTGGCAATACCATCCAGCTTTCCAACCCACTGTCAGGGCGCACAACATCCTGACAAATTTCTAGCCAATGGGTGCATTTCATCCTCAACTTAACATTCACGAAAGATTCTTTCTCGAACCCTTAAATCTGTGCTTATCAGTTAAGGTTAGCCTAATGAATGTGCACACAATCAGATTTGTTGCTCAGTTAGCCATCGGCCATATGAAATAATATGCATTGAATTATCAATGATAAACAACTTGAGAGCAGTGTGCACTTCATTAGTTAGATCATACATGCTTCATATAATTATCAAAAAATGTTGTTACTGTTAATGATTAGCTTCATAGTGAAAATAACTTTTCTTCCCTAATGAAAATTTGTAGAGCCTGGTGGAGTCTTGGATGTATGGAGTTCATGTGAGCCAATAAAACCAAACAAACGTAAAAGAATAATCATCTATTGGAAGGTATGTTGAATACACAATGGCTGCCATTTTGCTATCCAACTAGACTGCTTGAGACACAATAATATTTTTCACTTAATAATGGGAGGGCTCAGGGAAGCAGTGAGCTGTAAGGTGATGTGGCCTTACTAATGTGAGCAGTTAAGATTAAAGATCAATGTATAGATACTGCTGGGCCGCTACTGAAAAAGTATCATTTAATATTTTTTAAGAAAAGCCAATTACCAAAATTATATGACATAATTTATAATAATGTACTAATCATATTTCAAGTGTCTCTTAACTACCAATCATTAACAAGCTGCCTCAAAGTATTTCTTGTTTTAACTGCAACAGTTCAACATTAAAATCTTTTTATCTTTCCTCTTTGAATCCCTTATGCTGCTAATGTGTCACAACGCATACACATTAGCTTTGTTTTCTCTAAATTAAACTATCAAAATATATATTTTTAGAATAACTGAGGACAATAAATAAGTTTATAGTGAATAATTCTGTGAGGAGGACAGTATATAATGGCAAAAGGATTTTGATAATTTGGTAGAGTAGGCTGATAGGTGGTAGAAGGGTGGCATGGTGGCTCAATGGTTTATACTGCTGTCTCACAGCGGCAGGTTCGTTTCCAGCCTCAGGTGACCGTCTGTGTGGAATTTGCATGATTTCCCCATGTCTGTGTCAGTTTCCTCTGGGTGCTTCAGTTTCCTTCCACAGTCAAAGGATGTGCAGGTTAGGTGGATTATCCGTGTTAAATTGGCCCATAGTGCTCAGGGATATGCAGGACAGGTGGTTTTGCCATGGTAAATGCCGGGTTACAGGGATAGGGTTGGGGCTAGGTCTTGGTGGGATGCTTTTGAAGGGTTGATACATACTCTATTTGTCTGAATGGCCTCTTTTTGCACTTTAGGGATTCTATCAGATGAAGTTCAACACAGAGAGGTGTAAAGTGATATATTTTGCTAGAAAGAACATGGAGATACAGTACAAACTGAAAGGTGCTATCCCCAATTGTGTACAGGAGCAGAGACAGTTGTGTGAATATGTGCATGAGTCACAAAAGGTGGCAGGACTGCTATTCAATAATTCTTAGACTTTATTAATAGGGACAATGAGCAAGGAGGTTATGTTGAACATGTATAAGGCATAAGTTATGCCTCAGCTACAAAATTGTTGTATAAATTAATAAGTGTAGTGATTGTAACAAGGTCAGCCAGGTGATCCTCAGAGAATATGAGTTCCCTGATTGCGGCTGTTAACATGGTCCAATCAGGGAACCCTAGCTGACAGACATAAACAGGAGTGTCAGAGGTTCTGTTCACTCCAAGAGATGGCTCTGAGGACGCCAGGTCAGTGTTTATTGAATGCACATGTAAATAAAGGATGACTTGGTGACGGGATACTGGCCTCTGTGGAGTTATTTCAGTGGCAACAAGAGAAAAAAATATTACAGTTCTCCAGAAATTCGCTCACAACAGTCACCTTTGAGTTGGGATAAGCATTTGTGGCATCATGCCGTTATTTGGAAAGCTTGACTGTTTTGATCCTGCCATCAAAGACTGGGCCCAGTATGTGAAAAGAATGTATTATTCTTTCTGGGCAAGTTATACTGGAGCAGAAGAAAAGCAATGAGTAATTCTCCTGACGTCTTCTGGATCAGTTTCTCGGTCATTAGGAGCTTAACATTTCCTGAGATACTAAACCCTTTCAAAAGTTGATGGGTTTAGTTAAGCAATATTACAACCCAAAGCATCCTCCAAATCTGAGATACTATCAATTTTACTTGGCAGTTCGAGAACTGAGGAATCCATGTTGGTATTTTTGACGAGGTTAAGACAACTGGCAGAGGCATGTGACTTTGGTTTAGCCTTTAATGAGATGTTGAGAGACCACTTGGTATGTGGGCCATTTGATATGTGGGATTAATGATGTACCATGCAAAAGTGCCTACTATCTAAAGTGGAACTAGATTTCAAACCAGCTTTGTCATTAGAAAATGCTGCAAGTGGAGCATATGAGTTACAGGGTATGCTGATGAAAGTGGACACCCTTGCCAGGCAGACTGAGCTTGGGGAACATCACTTGAGTGAAGGTAATTTCCTGGCCTCACTCAGGACATATCCTGAACAGAGGGACTCTGGGCCAGCCCACAGCAAAACCCTAAAACAAACCCAAGCCTGAACCAAACAGTTAACGTATTCTTCAGGATCTGGGCCAGTAAGCCATTGCAATTGCTGCTGGTATGCAGATTCGAGACAGCAAAAGAGTACCACCAGGCCTGAATTGAGTAAAAGAACTCATAGGCTAGTATGCATATGAGTGCACACTTTGGAAAGCCCATCTACATCTGGCTTGGAACAGTTAAATTGCTTAGCAACATCCAAATCAGAACCAATCAAAATAAACATCTGAATAAATGGTCACCTAGTTCTAATGGAGGTTGATACTGGCATGGCTGTTACAGTGATTGTAGAACCAGCCTTTAACAAGATTCGTTCTGGACTCCAACCCTTAGGTTTGTGTAAGACCTCGGCAAGACTGAGATTCTAGATCAGGGAACCTTTACAGATTAAGGGTACAATTTTGGTTTTGGTCTGCTATCAGAAGCAGCGGGTTCAGTACTACTGTTTGTAATAAAAGGCTTCGGCCCAAGCCTGATGGAGCAAAATTGATTGAGAAAGATTCAGCTTGATTGGTTCAACACTTTTTGTTTCGAAAATGGCTGCCAGAGTGAAGTCCTAATTAAATACACAAACATTTTTCAGGAAGGTCTAGGGGCTATCAAAGGAACCAAGATAGCCTTGCATATTGACCAGAAAGCAATTCTACGATTCTGCAAGGCTGGTGCAGTGCCATTTGCCTTATGTGCAAAAGTAGAGGCAGAAATCAGGAGGCTGAAAAGTGAAGGAACCATCAAACCAGCACAGTTTACGGAATGGGCACCACCAGTCGTACTGATTATGAAGCCCAATGGGTCGATTTGCCTTTGTGGGGATTTTAAACAAATGGTAAACTGCTTCTCAATGCTAGATAAATACCCAATCCCTTGCATAGAGGACTTACACACAAATCTGGTGGGGTGTGGAGGGGGGGATGTGGGGACTGTCCTTCACAAAGCTGGACATGAGCCATATATACCTGTAATTGTGGTTAGGTGAGGTATATGCTACAATTAATACTCATAAGGGTTTGTACCAATATACAAGACTGCAATTTGGGATATCATCAGCCTGTGCCACTTTTCAGCGGACGATGGAGAACATTTTACAAGATCTACCCTAGGTTGCCGTTTATCTGGATGAAGTGCTAATAACAGGGAAGACCAATAAAGAGCACTTACAGAATATGGACATAGTCCTTAGATGCTCCTCCAAGGTGGGCATATGCCTTAGAAGAGAAAAATGTGTCTTCCAGGCACCCCAAGTGACTTACTTGGCTACAGAGTCAACAAGACCGGGTTACACCCACTGGAAGATAAAGTCATGGCTATCAAAGGTGTCCCAGCTCCCATGTCTGTACCAGAGCTTGGGTCTTTCCTTGGAATGGCGAGTATTACAGAATGTTCATAAGTAACCTGGCTTCCATCTTGGCACCCTTGCATCTGCTATTGAGAAAGAGTCAGCCTTGGAAATGGTCTTGTAGCCAAGATGTAGCCTTTCCAGAAGTTAAGAAGCAGCCAGCATCGTCTAAGGTGCTGGTACACTATGATCCCAAGTAAGATATGGTGCTGATATGCGATGCTGCCCCATACAGTGGGGTAATGTTGGCTCACAGATGGCCTAATGGAGAGGAACATCCAATAATGTATGCTTCCCAGATTTTGGCTGATGCAGAGCACAGGCCCAGATAGAGAAGGAGGGTTTGGCAGTGTGAGAAAGTTCTACCAATATCATTATGTATGTGACTTTGTAATAGTAATGGACCACAAACACCTTCTGGGGCTACTTAAAAAGGACAAGGCCAAGCCGCCCATAGCTTCAGGTCGAATTCAGTGGTGGGCTCTCATTCTAAGTGCGCTCAATTACAAGTTGGAATGCCATCTGCAAGGCTAAGTAGGAAATGTGGATGCCGTGAGCCACTTCCAGCTGACCAGTACACCACTGGCGGTGCCGCCACTTGAAGAGCTCATTCTGGTTTTAAACTTTCCAGACAGCCTTCCGGTCATCACTAATAATATCACACTGTAAACGCAAAAAGATCCTGTCCTGGCAAAACTAAAACAGCTGCTGGTGGTGGGGGACACAAGAGGACCAACACAATCAGAATTGAACCATTTCTGGACCCGACTAGACCAGATCACCGTTCAGGAAGACATATTATTATGGGGAGCAAGAGCGATTGTCCCAGGCAAAGGTCACCACCAGATACTGGTTGAACTCCACCAGGTCATCCAGTGGTTTCCAAACTGAAAATGTTGGCAAGAAGTTATGTCTGGGGGCCAGGATTGGATGCAGACATAGCCACGTTGGTGGGGCAGTGCCGAGAGTGCTAACAAGGACAAAAATTACTAGCAGCAGCTCCTCTACATTCGAGGGAATAGCCGGTAAACCCTGGACTCAGTTACACATTAACTATGCAGGTCCTTTCATGGGCTCAACATTCTTAGTCATTGTGGATGCCCACTCGTAGTGGTTGGACATGCATATAGTTCATTTGTCAAACACAATGATAAAAAAGTTGCGAGCGTCTTTTGCAATACACAGACTCCCGGAGGTGCCGGTCATAGGCAACAGGCCATCATTTACCAGCAGGGAATTTGAGTATTTCCTAAGGTCAAAAGGCATTCATCATATAAGGATAGCTTCATACCATCCATCGTCCAGTGGTCTGGTGGAAAGAGCAGTCCAAACTTTGAAAGCCGGCTTAAAGAAACCACTTACAGCTTCACTAGATACCAAACTGTCCTGGATCCTGTTTGTTTATCAGACCATCCCTCATGCAACTATAGAGATAGCTCCAGCAGAGTTGTTAATGGAGAGAAGAGTCCGCACCAAGTTAAATTTGATTCT